CCGGGAAGCAGACTATAGCAAGCGGGTAAGTGCTAGACTTTGGGTATCGTACACATTTCCGCGGAACGGCATAGACTAAACTTTTATGAACATTTAATAGTGATTATAAATTGTAAAGACAATAGTAGTGTTGGGAGTAAGGGAACGGGAGTTATAGACAACATAGTTAAATTTGAGAACTAGAGACATTAAGAAATCAGTAGATTAATAATCATTTGCGAGATCAATACTTCCTTATTTGATTTAGTCACTGAGTTGCATGCATATGTGATATTCTTGAGGTAAACATGGCATCAAGAGACCAACGGGAAGCATGCGCGCTACGTCCCGCATTTGAGGTAGAAGAGGACCGCCTTCATGAATCTCTGACTTCAACGGAATCGCTCGAAGGAGCATTTGTGGGTACGGGGAATCCGGAGGATTTGGTTATGCAACCGCTTGATCGGAGTGTCGGCGGAATTCGCCCAAGGATCAATTTGGGACTTGAACACAATTATAGAAATAATGAATTAAACCCGGTTGAAGAANCAAGGATTTGGGGCGGGGACTTACAATATATGTGTCAGTCCAACTTTGAGTTTCTTCTGGTCCAGTCCTTGGTAGTGACAGCGCCTTCAGCGTGGAGTTTGACGCGTGATTGAATCCGAAAGAAAGAACATATTAACAATTAGAGCCTTCAGCTAGAAATAAATAAAGGTTATATCAGTGGTGCAAGCTATGAGAGCTTGAGTCACCGATTAGTAAAGTCAGTGTTGAATCTAATAATAAATATCCGTCTTTGTCTAATTCTGAGTGCATATCCCAGCCAGGAGCAAGCTAGAGACAGATCCCGGGAAGCAGACTATAGCAAGCGGGTAAGTGCTAGACTTTGGGTATCGTACACATTTCCGCGGAACGGCATAGACTAAACTTTTATGAACATTTAATAGTGATTATAAATTGTAAAGACAATAGTAGTGTTGGGAGTAAGGGAACGGGAGTTATAGACAACATAGTTAAATTTGAGAACTAGAGACATTAAGAAATCAGTAGATTAATAATCATTTGCGAGATCAATACTTCCTTATTTGATTTAGTCACTGAGTTGCATGCATATGTGATATTCTTGAGGTAAACATGGCATCAAGAGACCAACGGGAAGCATGCGCGCTACGTCCCGCATTTGAGGTAGAAGAGGACCGCCTTCATGAATCTCTGACTTCAACGGAATCGCTCGAAGGAGCATTTGTGGGTACGGGGAATCCGGAGGATTTGGTTATGCAACCGCTTGATCGGAGTGTCGGCGGAATTCGCCCAAGGATCAATTTGGGACTTGAACACAATTATAGAAATAATGAATTAAACCCGGTTGAAGAAGCCGGAAGGGCCGGCGATGAATTTAACGCATGCGCACGGTTACATGGCGCCCAACTCGTGCTGCGAACCACGACGCTGAGATCGAGAGTCGTCACGCTCTGCTTCGAGAGCTAAACGTGCAAGAAAACCTGTTGGACAAGTTAATAGAAGAAAAAGACGAAACACCTGTACTGGGTTGCTGGTTCACTCAAACCCAGTGGCGCCCAACAAATGAAAAAGAGGCAAACGATGGCAAATTAGTAGAAACGTTGAGTAAAGCAATAGAGAAAGTGGTAGTTGCGGCCACTAGATCACCAAGAGAAGAAATTCCACGTGCAAATTCTAGGGAATTTGAACCTACCTACGCTGGGTCGGATTATGAAGATCCTCGGCGATTTTTGCGAAGAATACAAGTTATATGTGTACGAGAAGGGATTAGGGAGCAAAATTGGACGAACTTTGCCTCTAGTCGTTTGGGGGAAGAAGCGGAAAAATAGTATTTGCCGTATAGACAATTCGAATGGACTTTCCGAAAATTTTCGACTAATCTGTTGAGCCGATTTGACAATCCCTATTTGAGGTTAAATCTGAAGAGGGATTTATTCTATAGAAATCAAGGTGAAAGAGAAGATGTAGCGGGGTTCATAGCTAGGAAAATGGCCCTTTACCGAAGACTGGAACTGGGAATGGAACCCAAGACATTAGTGTTACAAATACGTACCTTATTAAAACCAGATATCCAATTAAATTTAATAGGTGCCCCGATAGGGACAGTTGAAGAATTATCGACTACCGCTCAAGAAGTGGAAATGGTGTTGAGATCTGTTCGAGGCGAACGCGAAGGTGGAAGTCAAATAACCAATAGAGAGTTAGTCCCGTTTGGAGGACGCCCGAGGCCGACTCAGTTGACTTGTCGCTGGTGCAGGGGAAACCATCTGAATCGAGATTGTCCACGCCGTGCCCTGCCTGAACCAAATTCGACGGAGGAGCGAAGGCAGGAAGGGAGAAATCAGGGACAGAATCAGGCTGAGACAAATAGAGTTTCTTCCGGATCGTCCCCTTCGGAAAATCATCGACGACGGGAAAACTAGAGGTCGCCCTCTGCTGTGGAGTTAGCGGGGGGCGAATTTCGATAGACTCCATTCAGGAACCTGCTCACATTTATGACTTGCCCCGAATAAAACTTACATACCAGAATGACGATTTGATTGCTTTAATAGATACCGGCGCCACAAGTTCCTTTCTGCGGGCCGACCGGTATAAAGGAGAAAAACCTGACGAAGGGAGATGGGTTGGTCTAGCTGATGGAAAAAGAGTATGGGCCGACGGACCAGTAGAAGTGGCCATTCAGATAGACGAAGGTAATGCCATTTTAAAGGTTTATTTGATCGAAGGTCTCCGGGAGGAGGCAATATTGGGAGTGGATTGGTTGCGTGCTGAGGAAGTGACCTTGGATTATCTACAAGGGGGAATATATTTTGGAACTCAAGTTAGGAGAGCGGTTTACTGGCATATAGCTGGACGAGAAGAACAGTTATATACGCCGGTCCAATTAGGTATTGAAAATTGCCCTAGTGAATGGATTCCCCATTATGAGGAGTTGATAAATGATTTTCCGGAGGTCTTCCAGGAGGAAGTACTTCAACCATGCACGAACCTAGTAAAACATACAATCCGATTATGTGATAATAAACCGTTTAGAATTCGCAGATATAAGTTTTCACCGGAAAAGAAGGCTACGATAACTCAAGAAGTGACAAGAATGTTGCAAGCCGGGGTCATCCGGCGGAGCCATTCGCAATATAGTTCCCCGATTGTGTTAGTTGGGAAACCGGATGGATCGACACGGTTTTGAATTGATTATCGTCAGCTGAATTCAATAACGGAAGACGAGGTTTCGGTGCTGCCCCCCATAACAGATATTTTGAAGGATATTGGAACAGCTACGGTGTTCTCATCACTAGATCTTCGTACAGGGTACTGGCAGGTACCAATGGCGGAAGAGAGTATCCCGATGACGGCGTTCCATACACCCGAAGGGGCGGCATACGAATTTGTCGTAATGCCCTTCGGGTTGAAGAACGCCCCATCGACATTCCAGAAATTAATGTCGGAAGTGTTATCTGGTTATATTAACGAATTCGTATATGTATATCTCGATGATATCATCATATATTCAAAAACCAGAGAAGACCACGACAGACACTTGAGACTTGTGATGGAGAGGTTACGATGCCATTCGTTGAAGTGTTCATTATCAAAATGTCGACTAGGGATGGAAACAATAAACTATTTGGGACATCGAGTCACGGCAACACATAATGAGGCCCAGACTAAGCATTTAGAAAAGATTCAGAATTTTGCCAGACCCACTACACAGAAGGAGTTACAGCGGTTCCTGGGAGTTGCTAATTGGCTCAGAGAATACGTGCCTAATTTCTCTGCGATTGCAGTTCCGATGACCCAACTTCTAGGGAAACGTAAATTCGTGTGGACACCGGAAGCCGACCAAGCATTTGAAGGGCTAAAAGAGGCCTTATCGAGACCGTTAAAGTTACACCGACCGAATCATCAAGAGAAGTTTATATTGCAGACTGACGCGAGCGCCTATGGGATGGGCGCAGTGCTATATCAAGAGGGACCCAACCACGAGAAGCTAGTTATCTCTTGCGCTAGCGCAAAATTCTCCCGTGCCGAAAGGAGATATTGCAACGAACAAGAGGTGCTCGCGGTGGTTTGGGCCGTCCGACGATACCGACATTTGTTAGAGGCAAAAGAATTCCTGTTGAGGACCGATAGTCGGGCCCTGTTGTGGCTCAAACAGTATAAAGACGAACGGGCTAAATTAACTCGCTTCGCACTCTACCTACAAGAATTTAAGTTCACCGTGGAGCATTGTCCAGGCCGGTTGAACGAATTGCCAGATTTTCTTAGCCGTAATCCGGAAGAGACCGAGGTCGAGCCGATAGATGAGGATCGGATGAGTCCGCCCCATCACAAACTCAGAGAAGTTGTATCGAACGAGGGAGTTCAGCCTAAGATTAATTTGACGACTATCCCGAAAGAGACTTCGCGAGTACCGGAAGTACTATTTCAACATATAGCATTGACACAAATTGACGTCCCGGAGTTACCCTTATATGATCAAATAGTGCAGGCACAGACTAATAGTGTGGAATATCAGGCGACGAAAGTCCGAATTCACTGACTCCAACGGGAAGACGAACCGGCTGATACGCCATGGAAGCAGACGCTAAAAGATCAATACGTCGTAGAAATTGACCTTATATGGTTTAAAGAAGGAGAGAGACGCCGATTGGTAGTGCCGAGTGATTCAGAAATTTCACGATAGTCAGGAAGCCGGACATCCGGGTCGCGAGGAGACTATCCGAGCTATTTCAGAATATTATTACTGGCCAACTATGAAAAAACAGGTGCGCACTCACATACGATACTGTCTCATCTGCGCGGCGACGAAACGAGGGGGGCTTGTCAACCAGCCGCTCCCCTTAGACCTCGACCTCCAAGCCGACCGTGGCAGACGGTCAGTGTTGATATAATGGGACCATACCAGCAGACCAGACGAGGAAATCGTTGTATCATACTACTACATATGTTCAAAATGGATAGAAGCGGTCCCCGTACTCCAAGTCCGGCCGAATATTATGAAAGAATTTTTAGAACGAGTTTTTAAACGATGGGGATACCCGGAGACATTTATCTCAGATAACGGGCCCACATTTAAAGGACAGAGATTTCTCCGATACCTGCGACAGAATTATATTAATCCTTACACGACCCCTATATATCACCCACGGTCCAACCCGGTTGAGCGACGCAATCAAGAATTAAAGAAACTTTTAAGGATACATTGTCGCCAACATGGGGAGGATCGTTGGGATGAGTATATTGAACAAGCCTTGTTTACACTGCGTAACCGAAAAAACGATGCTATTGGGATAAGTCCTAGTGTTGCATTACTAGACGCACCGTTAGTACAACCTGGGGAATGGAATAACCCTGAGGTACGAAAAGCAGTCCATAACGCACCCCAAGAAAGGGAAGAACGATTACAGAAGATCCGCAGACGACATATTGTGTTTGACAGACAACTGTTTCCCGTACAGGGTCGACCGAAAGTGACATTAAACGTGGGGGATCAGGTGTTAACTAAGAATCCGCCGGGGCTAAAAACTCAGTTCGGACCGCCATGGGCCGGCCCATACCGAGTAATCCGAGTGTGCGGGCTTAATGTCTATGAACTAAATAGAAATGGAACGCCGGTATTGGTACATATAGATGACATTCGGCCGTGGCCAAATCGCGCCCAGTGGCAACCGATAAGGGACGACCCGTTACATATATCCCCCGGGGAGGACAATCCGGCATCCGGACAACAAGAGGAAGCAGAACCAACACCTGACATAGAACACGAACGTGCAGAAGATCCACCGCCAGCGGAGGAAGTTCCATCGTCGACAGATAGTGAAGAAGAGAGATTCGATACGGGTGAAGAGATGGATTCGGCGACGTACCCTAACTCCGACACCGAGGATCCTAGAAGACGCCCACCCGAACGACACGGAGCGCAACGGGTATACACACCCCCATATAGAAGGGAATACAAACAGAGTACCATGGAATCGGCCCATCCGGGACCGTCCGGGATAGGCCCCCAACTACGAAGGAGTCCTGGGTCCAGACCACGAACGGATGAGGCCGGAACGAGCAGGGAGGGAGAAGCAGCCAGGCGCGTACGGACAATCAGGGAAGTAAACCTACCTGTTTAATTCCGGTCCCGTTTGTTGCAGGCCCGCCGATAAGAGCTGATACATCGAGAGAGGGTAGCCCGGAGACGACACGGGGAGACGAGGTGCAGTTCACCGAGGTGAATACTTTCCTTGGTATAGAAGATGTAGTGGAAAAACATGAACCCGTAAAATTATTTTCAGCCATACCTATTACGGGGTTATATCCGTAAACTTTGTATAATCGTTATTTGTTGTTATTATTATACCGTTGTAAATATTATCTTGTAAACTTCTATTAGGGTACAAGACGTCTAGGTGATCGTGAACAACTAGCCGTCTCGGAAGGGGGGTGGTGTCACGGTCTCTTGATGACCGTGATTCGCGAATAAATGTTGAATTCGCGAAGAAATTAGTTTTGTTAGAAGTATAGAAAAATCCGAGCCGCGGATTGGGGCGGGGCCTATAAGTCCGCCTGATTATTTAAGAACGAAGTCGCGGAAGGTAAAGCAGCAGACCTCGTATGCATATCGAGTCCACGCTGGGTGGTTTCTGTGAAATTCTAATAACGAAACTGTTAGTTAAAAAAATTCTATTGTGTGAGACCGGCAAGGTTCTCGCCATAAGTCGAAATTAATCTTAAAGAAAATTGGTATTGGCTAACTAATTCCAACTTTCGGTGCAGGGTAGGCGATCCTGATAATAGCCTTTACGTAGGGAATACGTAAGGACGAAATTGAAGAATTTGGGAAACGCGCGCGGAGACGTATCGCGTAGTAATAATTCTGAGGCGAGGGACGCGATCGCGAGGAGAGATTCACATAGACGTTTAGCGACCTATAATAGAAGCAGTAGTTCATTTGTACTTACTTACAATATATGTGTCAGTCCAACGTTGAGTTTCGTCTGGTCCAGTCCTTGGTAGTGACAGCGCCTTCAGCGTGGAGTTTGACGCGTTATTGAATCTGAAAGAAAGAACATATTAACAGTTAAATCCTTCAGCTAGAAATAAATAAAGGTTATATCAGTGCAAGCTATGAGAGCTTGAGTCACCGATTAGTAAAGTCAGTGTTGAATCTAATAATAAATATCCGTCTTTGTCTAATTCTGAGTGCATATCCCAGCCTCCTGGCATAGTTAAATTTGAGAACTAGAGACATTAAGAAATCAGTAGATTAATAATCATTTGCGAGATCAATACTTCCTTATTTGATTTAGTCACTGAGTTGCATGCATATGTGATATTCTTGAGGTAAACATGGCATCAAGAGACCAACGGGAAGCATGCGCGCTACGTCCCGCATTTGAGGTAGAAGAGGACCGCCTACATGAATCTCTGACTTCAACGGAATCGCTCGAAGGAGCATTTGTGGGTACGGGGAATCCGAGGATTTGGTTATGCAACCGCTTGATCGGAGTGTCGGCGGAATTCGCCCAAGGATCAATTTGGGACTTGAACACAATTATAGAAATAATGAATTAAACCCGGTTGAAGAAGCCGGAAGGGCCGGCGATGAATTTAACGCATGCGCGCGGTTACAACGCGGGCTAGTTATAGAGAACAGGTGGACGGACTGAACATCTCCGCCGAGCGCGCTGGCTTGCCTGCCGGGCCCCCTGGCTCGCGCGATTTGTGCTTGATGTCGATGGATTTTTGGCTGTTTCGCAGCCCTAATGGCCACGACAGGAAGAAACAATAACACTAAACTAACCTAACCTAACACTAAAATAAAATATAATTATAACAAAACGAAACTTTACTCTATAAAAACAAACTTTTGTTATAAAATAAAATGATATAGGTTAAATCACAGAGTAAACTAAAGTTTAAAGATGTGAAAACGGTACTTACATTTCAGTCAACGAACAAATCCTATTACAGTTTTCTGTCAATCTATTACGATTTTCTATAGATTCTATTACAAATTATTTAAGCTCTGGAACAACACTGGCGCAGCTTCCAGGATCAGTCTTTCGATCGCGAGCGAACCGAACGGACGACAAGAAGTCAAGACGACGACGTCACCAGCGATTAACTAAGCGACCAAGAGGGCGATTTTGAACGTGAACGCGACAACCGCGATTTAGAAAAGCGCATCGGTAGCAGTTCGACCGTTACAGGATAACATCCGCGACGTGTTCGGGCTACCTAAATAGCAGCACCAGAGGTTTTTGTTGTGGACCCCCTGCAACAAATTCCTCACAATAAGAATTCGAAAAAGCTTTGAACTAGGCGACGAACAAAAGAGTTAGCCTCGTGCTAACGTGCTTTTGTAAGTCCCCGGAGAGAAAATTACTCTCCAAAAATAAAAGTTAAACACCTTTGAACTCGGTGACGGACAAAAGAGTTAGCCTAGTGCTAACGTGCTTTTGTAAGCCCCAGGAGAGAAAACTACTCTCCGAAAACAAAAGTTGCATACTTTAGAACTCTAGGACCTGGTGGAAGAGATAACCTAGTGTTATCGCACTCAACCGGCCCGACGAGACGGCCAGTCTCGCAAATAAAAGGCCAACCCCAACGGCGGTGCCTTACGTATAGGTCACCAGCTGTTTTAAAAAGAATTCACAGGTTTTTAAAAGAATTCGCCAACGAGGGATCGTGTGCTGGAAAATTTCGTTTACCACCAAGTCCACGACAACAATAGTTATCGACCGACGTGGGAGTTAGCGACCGGCTAACCTGCGGAGTATCCATTCGGGTTAATAGCGGTGACAGCGGCGGCTGGAAATTGCATAAAAAACCTAGAATGGAGCAGGATCGAAGGCAGTACCTACATATTTGTGGAATTTAATTTATCTGGAACAATAAATATTTGTCCCTAATAAAAAATGTGGTTCATAAATGTCTGTATTTTTTGAAGTACTGGCACTAGCATAATCATGATCTCTACATGGCGGTGCATTCATGAGATTTGAAGAAATTGAAATTATTTGTAAATTAATTAGTAAATTTAGTACATGTAGTAGTAAAAATTCAGTTACATAAACATTGAAAACAAAAGCAATAGTCCAATAAGTTTGCAAATTATTATTTAAAATTCTAAACTTAATGCTTACCTGGTAAATTAAGTGTAGGAATCGCAGTAGCTTTCAAATTATCGAAATAAAAAATCGATTATGGTGAACGACAAATTTACATTCTTCTGTAAAATGACAGTCACATACTCGATAGTGGTGTCTCTTAGAATCATCAAGTTCCATCAATGATAATCTACCAATCGCCACACACCAAATTCTCCTCATCTAAAAAAATATATAAAAATTAAATTTTAATTAATAAATACTATAAAAATATGTACATACATAAAAAGAAATTTTTTCTAGGGATCGTGCTATATTGTAGTGAGAATTTAGGTATACAGCTAGTTATTTTATTATGTTATAAGAAAAATAAATAATATCGTTTCGAGATTGATAATTCGAAACAACTATACGTTTACGAATGATTTCATTATTTTATTATTTAGTAAAATACTAATAAAGAAATCATGCATACCTCATTATCTTTTAGTAAACTGTGCAAAATCGAAGTTTTGCTTGTCATTCTGCAACCCTGAACACAACACATGATCACTCATGAAAAATTAACAACTCCACAAACTATTCGCTCAAAATATAACTAGAATAAATAAATTTGTTAAGAATTATCCTTTGAAATTCAGATATTTATTTACTGGCCTTTATCTGATTGGTGGGGACAGTTACCACCCCACTCTTTAATATACACAGGCGACATGAAGGCTTACCAAAGCTAAGTTTTTGTGTTCTATGGAGAGTGAACAGGCCCTGGTGAAGGCATATACGGATTAGACAAAATAATGCCTAAGCAGGGTACAATGAGGAAATAAATATAAGTATAACTATCACCCTCTCCGATAGCGCTGTGGTTCGGTGTACATGTACAAGCTTAGAATATGTAATAAACTACAAAGTAAAATAGGGAACAGGTATATCTTCACACTAGATACAGTTTTTATAATTTTGACGGTGTTGAATACTAGAAATATATAGTCTCTACGTAGATTGTGGGAAAGCAATAGCAACAAAATAAACAATGGGTACTATTCAGTCCTAACCAAAAAAAAATAAAAAGGTACATAAGTACTAAGCAAAATATCAAGCGATAAATCAAGTTATGTTGCAATAAGTGGGTTTAATTGAGTAGGCTAAATACTATGAAGCGGCATGCAAACTTAAAATTAGGCTTATCTGTTTGTGTAGCACTAGCGGCAGGTTGCATTGATGGTGTTACTCAACACTGCAGATTAGGACCATGCAGGAGCCTGTTGGAGCCTCTACCAGAGTATCTATCGAAGCAGCCACGGGGAAGAAATCCTACACCAAGTGGCAGGCCCTCGAAACCAAAAAAGCTGTCGGAAGACCACTGACTAGGGCAAATCTCCCTCTCAATAGGAATCCACGTTGGCAGGTATGTAAAATTAAAATAAAGAAATAAATAATAAGAATCCTGGAGACAGAATTCTGGATACACAATCACAGAGAAAAAAGGCCTAAAAAATAGACGCGTATAAGTAGGTGCCGTAGAAATATAGCGTCGAAGAAAATAAGTCAAACCCTTACCTTGGTTGTAGGGCAGCCTCGTGGAAAAAATATACGTATTTTACGTCTTAAGTTTTATGGGCAGAAATACAACCACCAGGTTGATACTGGGACTACCAAAATTTATAAATCTCAACGAAATGTGCCCACAGAAGCAACTAAATCCACATATAATTTGTGATAATTTGATCGTGCCTAGAGCACACGCTGCCGAATACTCAAAACGACGTTCTCCTCGCCCAAGCGCTAACACGAATCGGCCACAGGAAGGTTTAGCAAAAAAAGAATCGCAAGAAAAGGTCCGCGTAAACCGCGTTTAATTCCAAATCAATAAAACCTAGTGTTTAATATTTTTCGTATTCTTGTGCGAATAAGCCTTTAATTAATTCAAAATTTAACCTAATGTTAAGCAACAGCCGCGGTAGATATATTCAAATTTTCTATTTTTTTTTAAATTAATCAGTTAATGATAATCTCTGAAT